CATTATTAAATAATATTGTTAAATATTTAAAATAAAAAATGTAAAAAGAAGCTTTTCCTTTAAGCTCCGTCAGATGGTAAAAAAATCAAACAGCTGTTCCTGCCAACTTAAACCTCTGAGTACAATCGTGGAGTTTGAAGATTTAAATCAAGTTGGCAAGTAATTCCTGTTGGGTTTAATTTACTGTAGCTTCTCTTACACAGCACTTTCACATCCACAGAGGCGGTACATTAATTATCCCATTAATAGCCCAAACATCTTTGCTTCCACTGTCAGTCTGAATGTGTTCAGTTCCACTCTGCCGCTGCAGTAATGGCAGCGGCGCTTGAGAGCGCAACACATACATTATCATACTCATTTACAGTCAATTGCAGAAGGTTTTCACTTTTTGCACAGAGCTTTTAAAAGTGGTGTTTAAGGGATCAGAATCATCCCTACATCAGATGAAAGCTGGTTTGAATGTCGTTGTTTCAACTAGAATTTAAGTGGATGAATTATTGTGTGTCCAACACAGACTCCACTTTCAAACACATGGTGTGTGATAAGAGGACCTCATAACAAAATCTTTCTACGTGAAGGACTTTCAGAGGATTTACCCACCCTCACTGGTTTTGCCGAATGCCAACTAGCTTCCTGGCTTCTATGGCCTTGTTTTCTCTTTCGCTATGTGTGGAATTCTCCTAAACAGCTGCTTCAGCGAGTGTCCCACTCTCTGTCATCATCTGAATGATGTGTGAGCTGTGGGAGGCCTGGGAGCCTCCTTACACACATACCCACACATACCCACCCACACACACACACACACACACACACACACACACACACATACAATCCTTATCTCCCATACACACACACACACAAACACAGATAAATAACATGTCTGTATGATTCATGGTGGCTCAAGGAGAATGAAGAAGTGTTTCACAGTGTTCTGTGTTTTTCTGAGGTTTTTCTTTTTTTGTCCGTCCATCTCACACAATCATTGGCATTGTGCTTCAAAGCAGAGCGCCTCAGTCACAGACAACAACATGTTATCTCAGCGTTTGCTTCAACCAGAAAACTGCATCGATGTAGAAAATGGGTTAAAGGCCAACCAACAGCACCAAATAAAGAAATTAAATCTTTTTGAAACTCTATATTTGTTTCTATTTTACAAGGTTCAAATGTTTCCACCCTCAACTCCAAAAGTGTTTTTTCACACTGTGTACTCACACATCAGAGGGAAAAGTCAAACTATTCTTGACCTCAGTGAAGATTTGGACACACATTGACTGATGGGTTATGTGATGGCACACTGTCTTTCTCTTCGCAGTGCCCCAGGTCCTCAAGAGCTGCACCGAGTTCATTGAAAAGCATGGTGTGGTGGACGGCATCTACCGCCTCTCTGGTATCGCCTCAAATATCCAGAAATTGCGGTAGGAGAAACATGCTGCCTTTTTATTACTACTGTGTTTGATTCAAGTGTATCAGGAAACCCACTTTTTAGTCTAATTTAATCCCACAATAGCCCTTATCTAAAGGCTGATAACACGTAAATTCCATCTAAGGGATTGTTGAATCTGTAAACAAGAAAAGCCATGATGACGTGCAGTGTAACAGTTGTTCCTCATCAACAGTTTTTGCTATCTAATGTTGTCATACCAGGAGAAGAACTTTGGCAGTCGGACAGCTGGAACAGTCGTGGCTTATAAAAGGCATATGTGTTGTGGACATGTTAGATGCTATTGTTTTTGTTCTGCTATGCTATGCTCTGAGATGTGCCTGCTTATGTGGGGACAACCATATGCAAGGGTGTGATTTCCACTAGGGTCATTTGGACAGATGTTGCGATACGATTCACAATTGTGTGGGAATGGTCATTTTTACATTAGAATCTCACTGAGAAAAAAAGTTAAAGTCCTAATAATCTGAAACTTTGGGGGTCTATACCAAACAAACATTTTTATTAAATCTGGAGAACAAGATTTATAGGCCAGGGCGTCTCTGGGGTTCTACAGTACTACATTAAATGCTGTTTTTCACACAGTTAAGCTTTAGCTTTATAAAAAAAAAAGATTTTTCCAATTGCACTTGGCCATATTGCCGTTTCAGTGATATTTTACAGTTTTACAGTAAATTCCTCTATAAAATCTCTCTAAACAATGTCCCCCTGGTTGTCCAGCTGCCAAAATCCAGATGTGAGAAGGGACGAGTTTATGTTGATAGACTCTCTAGGTCACCTTAGTGTATGCTTTCAGTAATATTAAATGCATATAAGTGCAGATTTTGTTGACTAAGACTATATTTCAGTCTCACAGTCTTTCTTAATTTATTTTTGTGGTTAGAGATGTAAATTCTAAATAAATAATAGAGGAGATATTTGCTGAATTTTGGGGGGGGGGGTGTTTATTGAAATAAAATCGTGTTCCCTATGATCACTGACCCCACCTTTAACAGAAATGGGACATATCAATCACTTTCTCTTCTAAAACACTACTGAAATGCAGCTATCCATCAAACTGCAGTGGTGAAAAGAAGTCAGTTTGTTGACTCTGCCTTTGCCCCCTTTCTCTTTCATCAGGCACGAGTTTGACTCTGAGCAGATCCCCGACCTGACCAAAGATGTTTACATCCAGGACATCCACTGTGTTGGCTCGCTGTGTAAGCTCTACTTCAGAGAGCTGCCCAACCCCCTGCTCACCTACCAACTCTACGAGAAATTCTCTGTAAGCAAACACAGATTTTTGAGCTTGTTTTGAGTTTCTGTGCCCACAAAGATGCCCCGAAGGACACTGATAGGATGTGACTGACAGTTCTGATTTCAAGTGTGTCCTTGATCTCTTTAGAAAAGAAAAGAAATTGCTCAGATTCATCTTGTTGGAATTTCTCAAATTTATCTTACAGTTATGAGTCACAGACACCCCTAAAATCACAGCATTGTACTTGACACACCCTATCATTACAAGTGCAGCAACCACTCTGTGTGTGACTTGGAATAAAAACCTTCTCCAGGCACAACAGAGCCGTCCCTGAAGATGAAGTAAATGTTTGCTGGTTGTTATGGCAGCTGGGGAGAGGAGGGGGCTGTGGCTGCAGACTGATGTCCCCTCTGTGCTCCATGCAGCACTGTGAATCTGGGATGACAAGTGAATGAGCTTAATGTTGATACCCTGACACATCCCGCTATTTATCTCCCTGTCACTATCTCCCTATCTCTCCCTTTGTTTGCACTCTGAAGGATGCTGTATCAGCAGCAACGGATGAAGAGCGGCTCATCAAAATCCATGATGTCATCCAGCAGCTTCCTCCGCCGCATTACAGGTCAGTGTAGAGGCACACTGCCCCCCTTTGGCAGACTCAGAAACTGCCTGTGCATTATCATCAGTTGTGTGTGTCTGTTAATGTTAAAATCAAGGGTTTTTGTAGTGCTACACTGTATTGAATGGAATTATTTAACAGGTCCCTGCTGACCTTTGCATTGGTGCTGATGAATTGAATTTCCTGTCCTTTGTGAAAGCATACAAATGCTAATGTCTAAGTGACATTCCTGCGAGATTTGAGCACAGTGAAATATGGACGCTCTGAAGAAGTAGCTCTATCATGGCCATTAGTTTGCACATCACTAGTGGGAGCCAATTAAAACTGAATAAATGAATATTTGATTTGTAGGACCCTGGAGTTCCTCATGAGGCACCTTTCCCGCCTGGCGGCGTTTAGCTACATCACCAACATGCACAGCAAGAACTTGGCCATCGTGTGGGCACCCAACCTGCTGAGGTGAGATTCCACAGCATCCATAGGATGTTCTTTGAATGCATGTTTTTCATTGCAATGTATACGCTGTTTGGATTGTCCATAGTTCTGTTATTTGAGTGATTTGATTTTTTTGTTTTTTTGTTTTTTTTATAAGTACTTCTCAAGATAATTCTAATAATCTTCTCAGTTTGACCTATATGTATTTGAGATTATGTGGGTGTTTTTTATACTACTCACATTAATGATTTCTCAGACTTGAATCAGTCGTGATAATGGGCTCTGTGCAGCAGAGAGCTCCCTGTCTGCTGATCTAAATGAGTCATTCTGCCTGAATGGGAGAATTGAAGCTGCTGTTTGTGGGAGGGTGCTGATTAACATTAAATGCTGGAAATGCCTCTTAAAAATTATGCAACTAAGACAAGACACTACAGGCAAAAACATATATTTTTCAAGCACTGGTGAATTTTGAGATTATGGCCTATTTTACTTCTTTTAGAACAGTAGAAGGAAAAAGCCCAAAATATACATTTAGGTGCAATTTTGCTACTCTTTGTTTTTGTCTGTAGATTTCAGTAAAACTTATTAGCATTAGCTAATGCCTTATTTGAATACTTAAACATACAATTTTAGAAAACGTACAGTGTAACAATGTAATTAATCAGCTGGGGAAGTTTCATGTTAATATCTATTAGGTCATTTTTTTTCACCTGTAGTGTCTATCTCAAAATGATTTTTCCTCACACTTTGAGACAGAAGCTTTGAGCTTTTTACTAAAATTATTTATATAGTAATTCTTTTTTCACTGTTGTCTTTCGATGATTGTTTCAGGTCCAAACAGATTGAATCTGCATGCTTCAGTGGCACAGCAGCCTTCATGGAAGTCCGGATCCAGTCTGTGGTGGTGGAGTTCATCCTCAACCACGTGGATGTCCTCTTCAGCGCTAAACTCAGCTCACTAATACGAGAGGGAGCAGGTACGTACAAGCATCAGTAAGATAAGACCCCTGCTAAAATTGTCATTCTGCTTCTTCTGCTCGAGCAATAATGTTGTGATGTTCCACATCACCAGGTCACAATTCATTGTCACGGCCCAAATCTCTGTTGGTCTCATCACCCTCCACTAAACTTCTGAGTCTGGAGGAGGCCCAGGCCAGGACCCAGGCTCAGATCAACTCTCCTGTCACTGAAGACAGCAAGTACATCGAGGTGGGCGAAGGTCCGGCTGCCCTGCAGGGCAAGTTCCACACCGTCATCGAGTTTCCCACTGAGAGGTTTGTCAACTCCTCTTCCTGTCATGTCATTTGATGAATATAAAATCTAAATTTTTTTTTTAAACTGCAAAAATTGTGTATTTTAAATAGTAATGCTGGAGTGTGTCTCCCTCTGCTGGTTGCTGGTAAGACTGCAGGCAGCCATATTCCTCCTGCACCAGGTTGCCATATCTGGACTGTCTCCAGTTTTAGACTTGGGCAAATATTTTAAAAATGGAGATGATCTGATTTTACATGTGTAGAGTTAAAAACACATTAATGTAACTAATTACTATGTCCTGGTGTTTATGTATTTGTCAATGAGTTAGTGAAACTAACTGCTTGTACACCACTGTTTTTTAATCACAGGAAGAGGCCTCCCATTAAATCCAAGAAGTCCCCTGTGGGTAGCTGGCGTTCTTTTTTCAACTTGGGCAAATCTTCCTCCATGTCCAAGCGCAAGCTGCACCGTAACCCCAGTGAGCCCAATGAACTAAAGGCCATGGCTCTCGCTGGTGAGTCAGTTCTTCACAGCTGGAATGAAAACACACTCAGCTTTTTCAATCACTTTACCATTATGCAATGAGAAGAACTTATCTGACTAAACACAGCTGAATGATGGTACCTTTTAATCATTACGTTCCAGGCGGCAGAGGAGACACAGCAACATTAAGATCAGCCAAAAGTGAAGAGTCACTGAGTTCCCTGCACAATGTTGAAGGTAATTATTTGAGTTAAATCAGTCAGCAGAGCCCATAGTGTACTTTTAATGCTCTTTCTACAGTGTAGCCCACTGTTAGCCACAGGGACTTGAAATAAATGTTTGTTTCTGATTATGTTCTTTTCCTCCTTCAGGAGAGTCCAAGGTGTACCGTCCCCGGCGGCCGCGCTCCAGCAGCGATGCCCTGTCAGCCTCTTTTAATGGCGAGCTGCTGGACAGCCGGCAGCATTGCAACTCCTACGACAACCTGGACGCCACAGAGGACAGCGACGGAGACGACGGGCCCATCTGTGTGCCTGCCCTCATCTCACCTCCCCGCTCAGCTGGTGAAGACGTGGACCTCAGCCCGCCGGACATCGGCATGGCCTCCTTAGACTTTGACCCCATGTCATTCCAGTGCAGTCTCCCCGACACCTCCTACGCCTTCCCCCTAGATGACTTGCCAGCTGGGGCCGAGTGCTCCATGTTAAAGAGGAGCCCCGGCAGCGCGTGTGGCAAGACCAACGGCTCTGACCTCATCTCTGCCACCTTCCTGGGCAGCTTGACCTCCCCCTTGTTGTCCACGGACTTCAGCCGGGCTGCCAGAGAGAAGGTGGAGAGCAAGAAACTGACCACTTCCTATTCTTACACTGATAAACCCACACAGGCTGTGTCACCTATTAAATGCGGAAAGGCCACCAGTTTGACACCGTTTGCCACTTCAGAGCTTTTCTCTACAGAGATGCCTGACAAGAATACAGCCGGACAGGCCACCTCTCCACAACCATTATCTCCTGCTTCAGCAGCCAAGGACTCTCCTCCCCTGATGGGCAGTGTACTGCTGAGGGCAGCTGAGCCATCGCTAAGTGAAGCCTTCCAGATAGAGCTGCACTCTAAGCTGGCAGCCTTTGACAGTGTGGACAGTCAGGAGCTGAGGGGAGAGGACAGCGTACAGGAAGCGCCAGCTGCTAGCAGCCAAGAGCACCACGGTAGGAGCACAGAATGGTTTTTTAAGTATAGTTTCTGGCATGTTTACACTGAATATTAAAAATAAGGCAATAAATCATGCCATTAATTACATGAATCCTTTTCTCTAGGTTTAGTTTCCCAGGTTTGCATGGATTTCATCTTAAATAAATCTTTTCTTATGATGCCCAAGCACCACACTTAACTTTTCCCCTCTTTTCCACTCTTGAAGCACTTGAAACCAACCTGCCTGCTGTCATGTCTTTTCTTCACCTACTGCTGTCTTGCTTATTCATTTTTCAACTATAGATCCCTTGTGTTTTTGTGTCCCCGCTAGGAGTTGTAACTCCGGACTCTTCAAAGGACCTCACCCCTCGTTCCCTCAGCTCTACAGCTCCCACTACTTCCCCTCCTCCTCCTCCCCCTCCTAAAAATGCTGCCCGCATGCTGGCCCTGGCCCTAGCCGAGTCTGCCCAGCAGTTCTCCGTTCATTGTCAGTCCCGGCCCTCTGAGCCCCCCACACCGGTTTTCCCTCTGCAGCCACAGGAGGGCACTAACTTCCAGGACTTGCCACATCCAGCGCTCCTACATTTCCAGACTTCCTCCGATGAGGGAGCAGGAAGAGGAAGTTCCCCACCGCCAAACGGCACTGCTCCAACGATCAGCCCGGCCCCATCTTATCCCTCCACTTCCAGTCCCACAATCAAGCAGCAACCAAAAGAGTTAACCAGCACGATTACCAAGCTATCAGAAAGTACCAAGTCCTCTACAGCTCCACCTGGTACACAGCCAGAAACAGAGAAAAGAGAATCCACCCCACCAGACACTCCTCTTTACAAGTGTCCCCCACTCCCCAGTACAACCAGCCTGACCTCTCCAACCAGGAAAAGTCCAGAAAGGCAGCAGCCTGTCACAGGTCAGATCCCAGTCCGTACCGGCTCATCAAGTAACACTCCAGCCACCACCCCCAGTGGCAGCTGCAAAGACACTGGAGTCTTACCACAGCCTGTTCCTGAGGTAAGTGTCACATCAGTTTCACATGCAGAATGTTACTTATAAATTATTAATGGCCACTATATTGTGATATTGAGCCGCAGTAAGCATAATCCAAATGGATTCATTATTCATATGCAGCATACCATGAGCTGCAGCATACCATGAGCTACAGCCTGCAGATAGTTAGTGAGGTTTTACAGTACCAGCACCTCTAAAGCTCACTAATCAAGACATTCTAACTTGTACTGGAGTCTTCCTGGAGTCTTGTTATCACTGGGAGGTTGTCAGACAACCAGAACAGACTCCATGAAATCACTGCACCTGACCACACGTTTTTTGTGTAGATTAAACTAATTAGATATAATGTGTTAATTTGTGAGCTTTAGAGGTGCTGGTATGTTTTTTTTTCTTTGGAGTAAATGCTAAGCTAAGGGTCTCCTGGTTCTAGCTACATATTTAGTGTACAGACACAAGAGTGGTATTAATCTTCTTATCTAACTCTCAGCAAGCACGTGAGAGTTGAAACAAATATTTACCAAAATGTCAAACTGTTCCTTATAGGTTGAGCATATATATTTGGATTAATGAATTAATTATTCATTTCATGATTAGGAATGGCCTGTGCTCTTACTACACACTGTTTTTGTGGCATACAGTCAGAATACCAAATGTGTCAGTACATTTGCCTTGGGGGTTGTCAGATGTGTAGCTTATTTGACACTATGATATTCTAGGTTATATTTTAATTAGTGCTAGAGGTGTTAGTCACTAATGTCTCATATCATGATCATCTTAAGTATTCAGAGCTTTTTCATATTCACTGCTTTCTTGTTTTTTAAGCCAAAAGTACAACATAAGAAATACAAACAAAAAGCAACCAGACATTTAGAATATATGGCATGCTGCTCCCAGTTACCAGACTGGTGACACTGGACAGCACCTAGCTGATGTGTGTGTGGTCAGGTGTTCATGATAACTCTTGTCCCAGAGTAGCAACGCTTATCTTGTGGTTTTGTAAAGTTTCTTCAGTAAAAAAGCTCTGTTTTCTTGTGTTTTGTCTCAGGTCAAACCAGAGGAGCCTGCACCGCCCCCAATACTTCCGAAACCATCAGAACCGGCACCTCCACCAATTCAAAAGCCTAAACGGCATGCTGTCTCATCCCAGCATCAAACACAAACTCAGCAGCAGAGTCAAGCTCAGATACAGCCTCATCTGCCAAAACAGCCTCATCCGCAGCCTCACGCGCCATCTCAGACACAGGTCCAACCCCAACCCCAACCCCAACCCCAACCCCAACCCCAGACCGACCCACAGACCCAGCCCAGACCACCAGACACGACCAAGCCACCCAGACCAACCCACCCACCAGACACCCAAACCAAACCCAAACCACCCAGACCAAACCAAACCCAAACCCACCCTCCACTCCTCTCCAAGCCAGTGCAAATGGCCCCCACCTCTGCTGAGCTGTTGTGAGCAAGCCGTTGGAGGCATAAGCCAGTACAGCCATGTACAGGTCTGCAAAAGGTACACGACGTACGGACCCGCGCCTCCAGCCCCTCCTGTCCGCACCATAGAGAGCAAACTGGCCACAGCAGCACTCAGCCAAAGTGAAGCCTCTTACCATATCCTGGGTGAGGGCCCTGCGCCCGTACATCTAGAAGATCCTCTTCCTCACCATCCTCTTTCTCCTCGTAAATCTTCCACGCACCAGCCAGCCTACCTGTACCACGCTAAAGGAGAGCCAGTCTTAATTGAGCCTCCAGGAGCTGCATACTACCACCAGAGGCCTGTTCCTCTGGGCCCACAGTCTATGCCACACCACTACCGGCCAGACAGCGTCCCCCCACACCTCTCTTTCGTGTCCAAATCTGAGCCTCAGATACCTTACAGTGCCCGAGTAGACAATAGATACAGCACTTTAGGCCCCAGGTCCTATCACCACTCCATAAAGTCCAGAGGAAACACCCGCAGTGTGTACGTGTCTCCGGGGCCAGGGCATCAGGGTTATAGCCATGACAGAACCCACGGCTATCCCACCATCCGCAGAGTGCACTCACTGCATGTTCCTTCCACTATCCGCTCTGTGCCCATCCAGAGGACTGAAGTTCCTCCGGATGACGATATATTCTTCTACCACCGACCCGTGTATCAGTGCAAAGCCTACCAGCAGCCTCCGCAGCAGTCCTCACAAGCCGACTACCACGTCACCCAGCTGCAGCCTTACTTTGAGAATGGACGGGTCCAGTATCGCTACAGTCCGTACTCCGGTTCCAGCCCTTTGGAGGCACCTTACTATGACATTGACCCTTACGGCACCATCCGGGTCAGGCACGTCCACTCCTATGGCAGCCGAGAGCCAGGAGCCGTTGCTGGCCGACCGGGTGGAAAGGCGACTGGGTACCACTACCTGGCTCGCCACGTTCTTCCACCAGGGAAGGAGCACAGCTTTGTGAGCAGAGACATGCCCCCAGGTCATGGAACCCAGGAGGCTGCTGCTTACCTCGCTTGGGATGCTGAGGAGTCAGAAAGGCTCCGCATGCACTCCATACGCAGGGAGAGCAGGGCCAGACAGAAGATTAAAGGCCCCGTCCTCTCTCAGTATGACAATGTCGGCTTGTTTGCACCAGCAGATATATCAGGCTATGAAACCCTGCACCTGCGCAGTAAGTCAGACCCAGGCAAAGCTGTGCTGGTTGCAGCCGAGAGCAAAGACGGGCGCTACCTCCCCAGACACATGGTGTCAGACCCTGATGTTCTCATGTACATGGAGACTGACAAGCATGTCCAGGGCACCACAGTGGGCGACAAATCAGATGGGCTCGCCAAGCAAAGCAGCTCCAAGAAATGCCAGTCCTCTCACTCCCTTCCAGCTACTCTGAGCCACAGTCTCTCCCATCAGCAGGAGAGCGGCCGACACGAGGCCAAGTACGAGACTGGAGACGACAAGCAGGGTGGAGACGGCAGCAGGTCTAAACACTGGCAGCAGGAGTATCCCAGCAAGAGGAACTTCCAGCCACGTTACGAGTGTCCTGATTCTGACCACCACCAGGGTAAAGCGAAAACATCGAGCGGCTACCACAGTACAGACGACCAGCCAGCAGCCCCCAGGGAACAACCAGCCCGCTCCAAACCGGAGCGATCACACAGCGTCCGAGAGCAGCAGCACTTCAACCAGGGGAAGTCTGAACTGGACAGAGACTACTCATATCAGAAACACAGCACTATAACGGCGCAGTCCCACTATGATAACTTGGACGATTACCACCCAGTACCTCAACCTCAGGCCCCTGTTCAAAAACGTGGAGGCTCCAGCTCCTATCCGGCCCCGGGATTCACAGCGAGCCACAACAACAGAGCGTACTCCACAGCACTGGGCCAGGGAGCCTTTATCCAGACTGACCTGGCCATGCAGAGGCCAGAGACAGAGATACGTACAGAATGAAGCATTTGTCCGGGGGTTGTGTGAAATGATCTTTAGCTGTGTAGAAGAAGAAAGACTCTGTTGAGCTACGGTTGAGCAGCCTCTGCAGGACAGTGGACTGTCGTATCACCAATATTTTTGCTCCTCTGTATTTTTAATGAATTGTAAAGAAAATTGTAAGACTTTTTACAGAAAGTCCTGAATGTACCTGAAATTATTGTCCAAGAGGTCATATTATTGTGATTGATTGAGACAGTAGCCAGTCATAAATGTATATGATATGTAAGACGTAAGGTACTTTTACAGGAACCACAAAAATGTAAAATATATATACTATATATATATATATTATATATATATATATATATATATATATATATATGAATAGAATCACTAGTAAAAAGGGATTTTTAGTTGATTTTTTTTGTTTTTAGGCGTGGAGCTGGGTATGATTATAACTGGGATTAAGGTTTGCATTTTAGAAATGCATGCACTCTATCTCTTACAGAACACTTCTGTGTACTTCACTATCCATTGCGTTTTTTCTGGACGTTACAGCACAAGTTATTGAAGGAGGATACACATAGGTCATCACGCCCTCCCTCTGCTACGTACACAAGTAGGCGGTAGTGTGTGTCCACGTTTGTTTCAAAGAATCCGACTGGGTGGGAGGTTTGATAAGGGGCTGCAGTGGTTACTTTCAGTTAATACAGTGGTTATCAATGTCTTATTTTTTCTCTGTGACTGTGCCATTTTTATGTAACTTTGCTATAAACCGATTTCAATGACTTCTAATGGAATGTTTTGGTACTTGTTTGTTCTTCATTGGAAGAGGGACCAAACGACTTGGCGCAGTTGTTGCACATACGGGATAAAGAGGGGAAGATGGATGAATGCCTGTTGTACCTTTAGATGTGTAAGAGGTTATTTTTATTTCTTTTTTTCCCATCACATTTACGGTACTTTCATGAACTGGACTGTCTGAATAAAGATGAAAATATTGTCCTCTCAAACAACGTAGTGAAGAAACATGTTGCCGCTGCTTTGTGGAAAAAAAACAACTGGGTGATGAGCCTTAAATTTTGTTCCTACAGACCATATTTTGTTTACTCTCATTGTCAGGTCCATTGTCATAATGCACAAACATTGTGATATCTAGATTAGAGATCACTTTTGATGATTCTTGACAGTTCAGGGTTGACAGGTGACCTGGGGCTATTTAGTTTTGTATTGCCTCACTGGTTCTGAATTTAAAACAACGAGGGAGGGAAATGTTTTTTTTAAAGATACCTGGGGCTTTTTATTTTCAGGCTGAAAATTAATGTATAGTACATCCATCTGGTATTATACTACATGCCCTCTTGGTTCACCATAATGTATGGATTACAATATGTTTCAAATATGTCTAAATCCAGGTTGTACTCTGTAACTGTTTGACTTCTATATCGCTTGCAGGTTTTGCTCCTCTTGCCTTATGTAAAGCCTCTACCTTTTCAGATGGGGCATTGAAGTAAGGCACCGTGTACTTGAATGTGAAAACACTCTTGTCTCAAACTAGAGGTATCTAAAGTTAGATATGAAATAAATAAAACTGTTCAGGAATAGCTATAATCCATGTCTTTTAATATGTGCGTGATGTTACTGATACACCTCTGTTTGGTTCAGTCTGACAATTCCTTGAGGAAGGACAAAATTCAAAATCCAGTTTAGGAGACAGGAGCACAAAACAGTGCAAGTAGTCAGTTGTCAGTAAGCGTAACATTGGCTGTGTGCGCTCTGCTATGTGAAGAAAATATTTTTTTTTGTCTTCCAGTCAGATATTTCAGAGTTTATCTTAAATCATTACTGACTGGTCACAGTAGGCTGACCTGATGTCAATATGATGCTTTTAGAAAATGAAAAATTCTCAGCGTGTCAAATGTCGTACAAGGAGTTTTTAAACTGATTACGAATCTCAATTTAACACTGATTCAAACAACAATGTCAGTGAGAACTATTTCTATGTAGTTGTTCTTAATGGCTGCCACCGGGTTGGATTCCCCTTGAAATCAATGAAACGAGGCGGTAGAAACACTATCGCTTTTGTCCAGAGGGGCTGCCAGAATAAACACAGAATGAAAGTTCCTTGTAGGGTTAGGGGGCTTTAACTTCCCTGTGCAGTTTTTGACCTCTAGTAGAGCTATGGAACTGTTTCGTTTGTCTCATGCTCACACACAGGTAGTGGGTGGCCAATAGCACCACGCAAAACACCCACCAGATAAACATTGATGTAAGCAACGCTGGATTTAGAATAGTTTAAAAATCAGCTTTACAAATGTTTTACAAGTAAGGAAATGCATTCAACATATTTGTTAGACCCCAAGGATACACGCAAGGTGTCAGTGAGTAACACTGAATATAAACTTGTTAAAAACTGGTCCTCAAGTCCTCAATACACTTCAAAATACTGCTTATTCGCACCCGATCCAGAGACTTCCACTGGCTCCCAGTCAAATTCCAAAAAATCTGTACAATCCTACTCACCACCTACAAGGTCTACCTGATCTCCTCCAAAACTCTCTTGTTCCAACTTGCATTTCCTGGCCAACTTCTGGTGCAGAAAAACATCTGCAAGCACAGATGTTATTAGAGTGTACATGCAACATTTTGGACTAGAGGTAAGAGTTACCATATTTCAGCCAGATGGCCCATTTCCGCCCCTGTTTCAGTAAACATCCACCCTGCTGAGAGCTCCTTGAGCAGGACTTCTTGCCTCCACCAGGGCTGCTGACTCTGACCTCCCAGTGAGGAAAACAAGAGAAAGTCTCTATAGAGATCAATAAACATCTGACAAATACAATATAATGGTGATGATCATGAGCAAGCATGCTAAATGTTTTCAAATCGCCTTGTGAAAACCTCTCCACCCACAGTTCAGCTATTGCCATAATCCTTATTAAATTGAAAATGTTTTTTTCTTCTGTTCATTCTTTGAAATTAAATTATACATGTAAATTTAATGATCCAACACACTTTCTTCAAACCAAAAAATAAATCAGTTTTGCTGTAAATAAATTTTTTTATTTTAATTAGAAAAGAAATATTGACAAATTAAATTAATAAAAATGAATGGAAGCAATTGCCATATTCTTAATTTTAAGTAGTTTTTTTTTCAGTGTGGAGAGAAGCACAAACCATTGGTATGAGGATCTTTAAGTTTACACTTTATTTCTGCTTTTTATTTTGTTGATTAGGTTTATACAGATTTAAAAAAATAAAGTTTGTGTTTTCTGGAGCTTCTAAGAACTAGATAGATAGATAGATAGA